TGAAGAGCTGAGGGACAGCGCCCAGGCCCAGAGTTCAGGCCCCAGGGCCAGAAAAAATAAATAATACAAAGAAGCATGCCAGGAAAGTCTGGGCCCTAAGGGGCCTTGTAAATTGGGTACTGAGGAATGGAACTCAGGGCTTCATGCATGCTAGGCAAGCACTCTACCACTAAACCCCATTCCCAGCCCCGCTCTTAGTTTCAAAACCACATAATGAAGTAAATTTTATTGGCCCATTCCATAGCCAGGCACACCCCACAGAGTCATTTCTTTTTCCCTGCTCCTACTCATTTGCATTCAACATGAATGACCACGTGCGTAAACACCAGAGCAAATGTCTGGTGAATATGGAAAGATGGAGGGAGTAAGGGAGGGACTAAGGGGAGAAGGGTTAGCATGAATGATAGTACTTACCCAGAGAAGAGCTGTCCCGGCCTGGGGGTCCCATTCGCCCTTTCTCTTTCTTGCCAAACAGCCGGCCTATGGATGACTTGATGCTCTTTTTCTTGGGGGCTTTGTGCAGGGAATCTGGGGTACCCTCACTGGACAAACAGGAGAGAGTCAGGGCACACTCTTTTGTTGTTGTTGTTGTTGGGTCCAATCGTGGGGCCTGAACTCTGGGCCTGGGCGCTGTCCCTCAGCTCTTCAGTTCAAGGCTAGCGCTTTACCACTTGAGCCATAGAGCCAGCTTTTTAATTTTTGCTTATGTGGTACTGAGGAATCAAACCCAGGGCCTCAGGCATGCAAGGCAAGCGCTCTACCACTGAGCCACCTTCCCAGCCCCAGGGCACACTCTTTCCACCATTTTTTTTCTTTTCTTTTCTTTTTTGTTGGTCATGGGGCTTGAACAGGCCCTGAGGCCTGAGCACTGTTCCTGAGTACATTTTGCTCAAGGGGAGCACTCTACCACTTTGAGTCACAGAACCACTTCCAGTTTTCTGTTGATAAGTCTGGAGATAAGAGTCTCACAGGCTTTCCTGCCCAGGCTGCCTTTGAACAGCAATCTTCAGATCTTAGCCTCCTGAGTAGCTAAGATGACAGGCCTGAGCCACAGCACTGGGCCTTCAACCATTCTCCTTCCAAAGCTCTGTCCTCCCAGCTGAGCCTTCCAGGCAAGCTCCTCCCCACTCTTACTGCCTGTCCCCTGGCTCACCTTCCCCGGGAAGGTCCCCCATCTTCCAGGGACCCCGCCTGCAGTGCTAAGGCTTGGGTCATTCTTTCAAGACGGGCCGAGCGGGGAGTGGGGGGTGGCGTGTCTCCTGGGATAGCTGGCCCCTCCCCTCGTGGAGCCCCAGCTTCCTCTTTGGGGATATGATTCTGAGGACAGAGAAGCACAGGGGTTTGATTAAGTTGGAGGGTCATCTTGGGAGCTGCCCATGAATGGGGATGTCTATGGGGGAGTCTGGGATGACACAGGGGTGGGGGGCAGAAAGACAATGCCTAGCCTGGCGCTGGTGGCTCACGCCTGTAATCCTAGCTATTCAGGAGGCTGAGATCTGAGGATCGCGGTTCAAAGCCAGCCCGGGCAGGAAAGACTGTGAGACTCCTATCTCTAATAAACCACCAGAAAACCGGAAGTGGCGCTGTAGCTCAAGTGGTAGAGCACTTGCCTTGAGCTGAAGAGCTGAGGGACAGCGCCCAGGCCCAGAGTTCAAGCCCCATGACCAACAAAAAAAAAAAAAAAAAAAAGAAAGACAATGCCTACAGCTCTTTGGAGCCCAGCCAAGCTCATATTTATACACCTTGGCTTCTGGTGTCATGAGTGGGAACTGCTTGGCCTCAATGCTAAGGAGTAACCGGTCCTACAAAGAGGAAAGCAGGCATTAAGGTCATAAAGAGATATATATCTTTTTTTTTTTTTTTTGGTCAGTTGTGGGACTTGAACTCTGGGCCTGGGTACTGTCCCTGAGCTCTTCAGCTCAAGACTAGACCTCTACCACTTGAGCCACTTCTGGTTTTCTGGTGGTTTATTGGAGATAAGAGTCTCATGTACTTTCCAGCCTGGGCTGGCTTTGAACCACAATTCTCAGATCTCAGTCTCTTCAGTAGCTAGGATGACAGGTGTGAGCCACCAGGTGGTGTGAGCCACCAGGCGGTGTGAGCCACCAGTGCTTGGCTGATATATATATTTGTCCCTAGAATACTCACGGCCTTGTCGGTGCCCTCACGGGCAGGGCTTGGTGGTGCCAGGCGAGGTGTTGAATGGCCTGAGCTGGGAGGAGACGGGCTGGCAAGGGTGGAGGTGGTGAGGGATGGGGGCAGAGAGCAGCTGCTTCGGTATCGGCTCAGGGAATCAAGGCCAGAGCTGGACACTCGGCTTTCCAGCTCTTCAGCCCTCTGTTCTGTTGTCTCTTTCTCCTCTTGGATTAGCCTGGGGCAGGAAGCAACAGTCAGAGACACACAGACAGACAGAAATAGAAAGAGAGGGTGCTGAGGGAAGGGAGTCTGTGATGAGAAAGTTCAGTGGGGCAAGAAGAATGAAGTTAGAAACTTTGGGCGAGTTCACCATAGCTTCTTAGATTCAAGGGGAGACAAGGTGTGATTGACAGGCTCAGGAGAACATGGAAGGACTAGGGCTGTTAGGGAGATCAGGAGCCATGATCAATTTAGCTCAGAAGAGAACCAAGCTGTTAGACAAATTCACAACAAAAAAAGAGCCAAGCAACAGTGGCTCACGCCTGTAATCCTAGCTACACAGAAGGCTGAGATCTGACTATGGATATTTAAAGTCAACCCAGGTAGGAAAAGTCCAAGAGCCTTTATCTGCAATGAATCACCAAAACAAGCTGGAGGTAAAGGTGAGGCTCAAGTGGTAGAGCTTTAGTCTTGAGTGAAAAACCTAAAGGACAGAACCCAGGCCCCTGAGTTCAAGCCCCAGTACTGATACACACACAAAACTAAAAATCATATAAAAGGTTTCTATGGGGAAGAAATAATGCTCCAAGCAAGATCACAAGGGCAAAGTCATCACACAATACCATCTGGAAGCCTGTGGAGTCATTCTCTCACTATGTGACAACGGATAACTCCAGTCTGAGTTTGAATGGAAGGCAGCAGCTATGTTGTTCTTATGTGCTGGATGCCCATGAAGAACGTTTTCTTAGAAAACTGCCAAGTTAGCTGAGCACCAGTGACTCACGCCTGTAATCTTAGCTACTCAGGAGACTGAGATCTGAGGATTGTTGTTTGAAACCAGCCTGGTACAGGAAAGTCTGTGAGACTCTTATCTCCAATTAATCACAGAAAAAGCCAGATGTGGCACTGTGGCGCAAGTGGTAGAACGCTATTCTAGAGCAAAAGGAGCTCAGAGACAGTACCAAGGCCCAGAGTTCAAGCCCCAGGATCAGAACTAAGGCAAATTTCTGGGCCATCAGGGTGGATAGAGATGGGAGTTTCTAAATAAGTCACACACTTTTGTTGTACTAGGTAGAAATTCTGGAGGTCTAAACTTGAGATTTCATGGCTCTTGTTCAAGGGTAGATGAATTCTTCGTGTTTTGAGTTGGGAATCTTGGATTATGTGGAGAATCCTAAGGAATTGGAAGATTCTTGAGTACCAGTTACATGAAGTCATTGATTTTGTTTGTTTTTTTGTTTTTTTGGGTCCGGTCGTGGGGCCTGAACTCTGGGCCTGGGCGCTGTCCCTCAGCTCTTCAGCTCAAGGCTAGCACTCTACCACCTGAGCCACAGCGCCACTTCCGGCTTTTTTCTTTTTGCTTATGTGGTACTGAGGAATCGAACCCAGGGCCTCTGGCATGCAATGCAAGTGCTCTACCACTGAGCCACCTTCCCAGCCCACATGAAGTCATTGAATCTGTGCTGTTCTGGAAGATTCTTGATGTACTGAATTGAAAATTTGGGAATTTTGAAATCCAGTCCTTGGCACCCCTGGAAATGCTGAGTCCTGGCTGAGGGACTTATATATAACATGGTAGTACATGAGGATTTCTGGAGGGGATTTCTGCGGGGACACAGTATCCTCATTCACTGGGGGGAGGGTTGGATTGGGGTTCCATTATGATGATGGGAGTGGAGATCGGCACAGAGAGAAGCGGAACCAGGGCTACAAATGTGGCATAATGGTAGAATGCTTGCCTAGCATGCATGAAGTCCTGGGTTCAATTCCTCAGTACCATATAAACAGAAAAGATAGGAAGTGAGGATGTGGTTTAAGTGGTAGAGTGCTAGCCTTGAGCACAGAGAGGCTCAGGGACAGTGTCCAGGTCCTGAGTTCAAGCCCCAGGACTGGAAAAAAAGAAAAGAAAAAGAAAGAAGTGGAGCCAGAGGGGTTGTGAAGTCAGCTCAAGTCAAGGTTAGCTCAAAGCCAAGTAGACCTAGGCCTGGCCTTACTTGATCTCCTTGTTGATGGCCTCCAGCTGCTCCTGAAGCATGATGGCCAGGGTCTGCACGTCAGCCTGCCCACTGGGGGACAGCAGCTCGGCCCCAAACATCCCCTCTGCCTCCTCCTCATCGGAGCCATCCAGCTCCCCGGGGAATGGGGGCGGCATGGATCCTGCAGGGGTAGACCGCTCCCAATCCTGTCTCTGTATGGGGACAGAGGGACACTGAACAGGTGGTGGTTCTGGGTCTTTGCTTTCCTCTCTGATCCTGCCTACAGGTGGCACCACTTTGCCCAGCCCAGCTACTTAATGGACAGGTTCCTTTCTTAACTCCTCCCCCAACTCACCCCAGGCCCTGCCCACACTTTTGATTGGCTCCTCTCGGATTCCTATTTCCTAGACCCAGCCCACTTCATGTATTGACCTGGCCCCACCCACTCTGGGATAGGGCACTGTACCCCCCCACCCATTAGTACTCTCAGATGCTCACCAGGTAACAGGACACCCAGGCAGGCCAGGGATGATGGGAGTTGTGGGAAGGTGGGGGAGGGAGGGAAAGAAGAGAAGATGGATGAGTCCAGGAAACCCTGCCTCTCAACCCAGCCTCCCACCTAAGCCCCAGAGGTTGGCCTCCACTCCCCTCAGCTGCCCCCCTAAGCCCCCTTAGTCCAGGCCCCAGAGGTGGCAGCTGACCTTGGAGGGTTCATCCTTTACTCCTGACCAGCGGCTTCTCTTGCTTGCCCGGCCACTGCCGGCCCCATAAGGGTCAAGGGGGGCACCAGAAGGTAACGTGGGAGCCTGGGAGTAACGGAGTTCCAGGGCACTGCCAGGAAGAGACCTGTGGGCATGGGAGAGACAGAGGTCATAGAGTTGAGGTAAAAAATTAGAGGGAAGCCAGGAGATGGTGGCTCATGTTTCTCATCCTAGCTATTCAGGAGGCTGAGATCTGAGGATTGTGGTTCAAAGCCATCCCAGGCAGGAAAGTCCTTGAGACTCTTATCTCCACTGAACCAAGTGGCTCAAGTGGTAGAGAGCTTGAGCAGAAAAAGCTTAAGGACAGCATCCAGGCCCCAAGTTCAAGCCTCATCACTGACCAAAGAGAGAGAGAGAGAGAGAGAGAAGGATGTGGGCTGGGCATGTGGCATGGCTTAGTGGTAGAGTGCGTACACCACATCAACATCTCCCTGAGCAGAGGAGGGGCAGGTGAGCTATGATTACCTAGAGTAAGAGGATGGCGGCCTTCCCCGAAGCTGGTCAATTTCCATCTGCATCCTCTCCATTTCAGCCAAGAGTTGCTCCTGGAGAGAAGAGGTTGGAGAAATCAAGTCAGAAAGCCTTGTTTTCCAGAATTGTGGCTCCTTTCCCCTTCCTTCCTCTCCCTCCTCCCTGCCTCCCCCCCACCCCCACCCCGGCCACCTCCACCCCAGACCTTGTTAAGCAACAGCTCATCTTGTAACTTCTTCATGTTGGCGATCTCCTCACTCAATGAGTTCTGTGGGCACAGGGGTGAAGTGAGGGAGTGGGAAGGAAGGAGACATGCCCTAGGGGCTGCCAACAGCCCCTGGAAGATTCCAGTGGGGACAACTAGGGAGCTTCAAGGGAGGGAGGGTCATGGGGCCAAAGACACCTCTAGGGTGAGAAGCCCTGGAAGCCCTGGGCTTCAATGTTCTGTGTGATCTCAGAGGGCTTGGGGTTTGAGTGTTTGGGGCACTTGAGAAAGAGCTAAGGGAGCTGGGAAGGTGGCTCAGTGGTAGAGAGCTTGCTTCACATGCATATGGCCCTAGGTTCGATTCCTCAGCACCACATAAACAGAAAAAAGCCAGAAGTGGTGCTGTGGCTCAAGTGGTAGAGTGCTTGCCTTGAGCTAAAGAGCTGGTGGACAGAGGACAGAGCCCAGGCCCAGAGTTCAAGCCCCACGACCAACCCAAAAAAAAAGAGAGCTAAGGCCAGCCAGCACCAGTAGCTCACTTCAGTAATCCTAGCTATTCAGGAGACTGAGCTCTGAGGATGATGGTTCAAAGCCAGCTGAGGCAGACTTTGAGACTCTTATCTCCAATGAACCACCAGAAAACCAGAAATGGAGCTGTGGCTCAAGTGGTAGAGCACTCTTCTTGAGCTGAGAGCTGAGAGACAGCGCCCAGGCCCAGAGTTCAAACCTCACGACAGACAATAAGATAAAATAATAATAAAAAATTTTTAAAAACCCAAAGAGCTAAGGACTTGGGGTATTGTTACTGCCTAGAATTCATCTACTGACAGCTTAGATTCAGGGCCAGGTTTGGGGAGATCTCGGATCGTGGCTCTGGGCGCCGTGTCTGGGGCCGCAGGACTGCGGCAGGAGGCAGGCCGGGACACAGCGGTGATGGGCGGCCTGGGCCGGCGCACCTTCTCCTCCAGAGCCCCCATGCGCTCTTTGAGGTGCAGCTGTAGGCGCTCATTAGACTCGCTCAGCAGCTTGTCCACCGTTTCCGACAGCCGCTTGTTGTGATCATCGTTCATCTTCTCCCGCTGCCGTGCCTATCCAAAGGAGAGCCAGGCGGGGACTCTCAAGGTCGCCCCCCCCCCCCCCCCCCCCCCCCCCGCACTAGGCCTGGCCCTCGCTGGGAGCCACGCCTCCACCCACGCCCTCCCCGCCTACCACCGAAGTCCATCCCCGCCTCAGAGCCCCATCTTCTCCGTTGTCCTCAGCTCCCTCACCCGCTGCAGCTCCTGGTTCTTCTCCTCCAACTGGGCCTCCAGCTGCCGAAGCCGCTCTTCAAAATTTCCGTGCCGCTCCTCAGCCTGGAGAACCAGAATCCACTCAGCACCATTCAGCACGGTGGCCCCGCCCCTTCCAGACTGGACGCTAGGCCCCGCCCCTTCCAGACTGGACGCTAGGCTCCACCCCTTCCAGACTGGACTTGAGATCCCGCTTCCTGGGCTCCAGCTCCACTCGGGACCCGCCCCCCTGTCTCCTCTGTCCCTGCCGGCACTGTTCCATCACCCTCAGATTACAGGCCACCCACACTAGAAAACAACGTAACCTCACTCCCAATAGCCCAAATCTTGCTCCATTCCAAGATGGAGCCCCAAGGCCAACTTGTTCCCCAGAATCCAGGCTTTCTTGTCACTCTAGGGCCCACTCCATTTAAGCCCCGCCCCCATTGGGCCCCCCTCCAGGCCCCACCCCTCAGACCCCACCCCTCCCTCCATCCTAACTTTGTTCAGCGCTGCCACCCTCTGGGCCAGCTGCGCCTCGATCTCGGGCAAGGTCTCGGCCTTCTGCAGTGTCTGCTGCAGCTTCTGCTTGGCATCGTCCAGCCACTCGGCCAGCTGACGGCTCTTCTCTTCACTCTGGAGGAAGGAGAGGCCAGGAGAGCAAAACAGGGCTAGGTCACGTGGACCCTAGCCTCACCCCGATACCCCTGGCCCAGTAGGCCCCCACCTGCCGATACAACGAGTCTTTGCTGGCCAATTCATTCTCCAGCTTGTCATTGGCATCGTGCAGAGACGTAGCTTCGCGCTGGGCGCTCAGGTAGCGCTTCTCCAGCGTGGTGATCCGCTCCTCCATATCCTCCCTCTGAGCCAGAGCCTGTGGAGGGGGCAAGAGACCTTGGAGTCCACAACTCCCAGAAGGCCATGGGGGTGCTCTAGGATTAGAACAGCAAACCAGAACCCCGTGGTGTCCTGGGAAATGAATCCAGGACTCAATGTCAGGTGCTCTAGGCTCAGGACTGCAATCTTAGCTACTCAGGAGACTGAGATCTGAGGATTGTGGTTTCAAAGCCAGCCCAGGTGGAAAATTCTGGAAGACACCAATTAACCTGAAGTGCAGGAGTGGCTCAAGGCGTAGAGTGCCAGCTTTGAGGGAAAAAGGCAAGCAAGAATTTTTAGGCCACATGCTGGTGGGGAGGCTGAGCTCTGAGAATTGAAGTCCAAAGCCAGCCAGGGCAGGAAATTCCATGAGATTCTTTTTTTTTGGTCCAGTCACGGGGCCTGAACTCTGGGCCTGGGCGCTCTCCCTCAGCTCTTCAGCTCAAGGCTAGTGCTCTACTACTTGAGCCACAGCGCCACTTCCGGCTTTTTTCTTTTTGCTTATGTGGTGCTGAGGAATCGAACCCAGGACCTCATGCATGCAAGGCAAGCGCTCTACCACTGAGCCACCTTCCCAGCCCAATGAGATTCTTATCTCTACTTAACTACCTGAAAACCTATGAAGCTGTGGCTCAAAGTGGTAGAGCACTCACCTTGAGCAAAAAAGCTCAGGGAGAGCACCCAGGCCCTGAGTTCAACCCCCATCACACACACACACACACACACACACACACACACACACACACACACGTTTACAGCCCTGAGGACTGGCAAAAAAAATCCAGGACCCACATTTCTTAGTAGATAATTTAGTCATAAGAATTACAGGGCTTAGCCGGGCGCTGGTGGCTCACACCTGTAATCCTAGCTACTCAGGAGGCTGAGATCTGAGGATCATGGTTCAAAGCCAGCCATGACTCTTATCTCCAAAACAGGAAGTGGCACTGTGGCTCAAAGTGGTAGCACCCAGGCTCAGAGTTCAAGTCCCATGACTAACAAAAAAAAAAAGAAAAGAAAAGAAAAGAAAACCAGGTGCTGGTGGCTATGCCTGTAATCCTAGCTACTCAGGACGCTGAGATCTGAGGATCGTGGTTCAAAGCCAGCCCAGGCAGGAAAGACTGTGAGACTCCTATCTCCAATAAACCACCAGAAAACCAGAAGTGGCGCTGTAGCTCAAGTGGTTGAGCGCTCGTCTTGAGCTGAAGAGCTGAGGGACTGTGCCCGGGCCCAGAGTTCAAGCTCCACGACCGACCAAAAAATAAAATAAAATAATAAAAATAAATAAATAAATAAAATAAAAAAAGAATTACAGGGCTTATTCCAGAAGTATGAAATACTGATACAAGGAAAACTGCTATATCTAATAACCAGAACCAGTTACTTAGCCCATGCTTTCAGATGGAGGACTCATATTAGAGTTCTAAATCCCAAGGCTCAGAAAGAAAGAGTTGAGACTCTTGAGGCACTGAATCCAGGTTCCACCATGAACTGAATGACTTGGGACAAAAAGGAAGGGGGGAAGCTGGGTGCTGATGGCTCACACCTGTAATCCTAGCTACTCAGGAGGCTGAGATCTGAGGATTGTGGTTCAAAAGCCAGCGTGGGCAAGAAAAGTCCATGAGACTCTTATCTCCCATGAACCACCAGAAAACCGCAAATGGTGCTGTGGCTCAAGTGGTAGAGTGCTCACCTTGAGCTGAAGAGCTGAAGGATAGTGACCAGGCCCAGAGTTCAAGCCCCACAACCGACCAGAAAAAAAAAAAAGGAAGGGGGCAAGGCCAGGGCAGGGGAATGACACAGGGCAGCCCCCCAGCACTCCCACCTCACCTCCTTGAGGTCCCGCTGCAGCTTGGACTTGGCTTCCTCCGCCTTACCCAGCTCGCGGTGAGCGGTGCCCAGCTCCTCCTCCAGCTGGCTCATCTGACGGCACAACACCGCCAGGCGCTCCCGCAGCTGGCACACCTCGGCACGCTGTCGCTCCAGGGCCTCCTCCAATTCTGCCGTGCGCCGGCTAGAATCCCCACCAGGACCCAGGCCATTAGCAAGGGTCTGGGGTGAGAGAGGAAGAGAGAGAACCCAGAGAGGAGGTCACAGAGACAGAGAGAGAAGATGCAAGAAGAAATTCCATCAGCATTTCCCTGATCAGTCTCCATGGGTGGCCAGGGGTCCCAGGAGTTAACTATGTGACCTGCAGTAAGCTAGTAAGGATCTTAAGGATTTGATAGTCCTAGGGTCAGTAAGGAGCAAAACAAATATTAAAATACACATCAAAAGTTAGGGAGTTGCCAGGCACCGGTGGCTCACTCAATGCCTGCAATCCTAGCTACTCAGGAGGCTGAGACGTGAGGATCATGAAAGCCAACCAGGGCAGAAAAGACCAGTGAGACTCTAATCTTTTTCTGGGGGGGGGTCTGGTCATGGGGCCTGAACTCTGGGCCTGAGCGCTGTCCCTCAGCTCTTCAGCTCAAGGCTAGCACTCTACCACTTGAGCCACGGCACCACTTCTGGCTTTTTTCTTTTTGCTTATGTGGTGCTGAGGAATTGAACCCAGGGCCTCATGCCTGCAAGGTAAGCACTCTACCATTGAGCCACCTTCCTAGCCCGAGACTCTAATCTTTAACCAACAAAAAGCTGGAAGTGGAGCTCTGGCTCAAGTAGTAGAGCTCCAGGCTTGAACAATAAAGCTAAGGGACAGGGGGCCCAGGCCCTGAGTTCAAGCCCAGTACATGCTGGGAGGGAGGGAATCAAGTTAGGAAGCTGACTGGATGCCACAGGAAAGGGACTTGCACCTCTTACCTGTCCATCCCCATCTTTGCCAGGCTCTTCCAGCCCTGACCGCCGTCTAGACAACTGGTCTCGAAGATTCAGAGTCTAGAAACAAAAGAAGACCAGAGCAAAGGACATCCTAGAATCCCACCTCTACTTCCCCCCTGAAAGGCAGTTTTCCTCTTTCATCTTGTCTTTCCCATCCAATTGTTTTCTTAAGAGGAGGCCTGAGCCCCAGCCTTAAATTCTCACTCCTCCTGGGAGGGTCTGGCTTCTTCCCACGATCCAGCCCCATTGGTGTTCAGCCTATGGAACTCTCCATCAGTTCCTTGGTTCCCGCCCCTTCTTGTCCCCACCCCCACCTCCTGATTGCTCAGTTCCAGCTCCTCCTCTAGCACGGCCACTCGCTCCAAAGCCATCCGCAATCTTTCTCGGACCTGGGGATGAGGAAAAGGACGATAGAGGTAGGATAAGAATGAGATGCGGACCAGACCCACATCCCTGGAACAACCCCAGAGGCAGGTGTAATAGGATAATATGAAAATTCCTCTCTGTAATGGGCACGAGGCTCCACCCACAGACCAAGCAGCCTCTCCCACTGGTACCCCCAACCCTTGTTCATTTTTCTGTTGTCAGTCTGAGGGGTCCCAGCCTGGTAACCTGTACCAATCAATCACTAAAGATCCTTCCACTTAGGATAGCCCCAACCAATCACAGCCAGGATCTTCATCCAGGCTATCCATACCTTTTCATCTAGGGCCTTGTGATGCTCGAAGAGGGATTTTAGAGCCTTAAGCACCTCCACCTCGGAGGAGACCCCTCCTGGTGACTGGGCCTGGCGCTTCACCACAGTCATGCGCAGTGACCTCTCGTGCCTGGACACCAGGCACTCCAAGTGTTCCAGGAGAAGCTAGAGGGATAAAACACGAGTCAAGGAAAAGAGGCCAGGGGCTAGGAAACCAGCGACAGACGGAGACCAACCAAAGGAACACTGGGAGAAACAAGTCAGGAAAGAGAGAGAGTGCACGGATAAGAGCCCAAGAGCAGATGATTAAAAAAAAAAAGTGAGTCCCGCCAGGAAATGGGAGCAGAGAAAGACACGAAAAAGAAGTATAGAATAAAAAGGAGTTGGACAGCAACACCCCACGGCCCTCTCTGTCCCCAAGGCCCTGTCCCCAAACCCCTCACCCGCGTGTTGTTGCGCTCGGCCTTCAGCTCTGCAATCTCTTCCTCTCTCTCCAGCAGCTGCTCCCGACATAAGTTCAGCTCCTTAGTCAGAGCCGCAAACTCCTGTCCAGAAGTGGGCACGACAGGGACGACCAATCAGTCCTTTTTCTAAGTCCCTCATTCCAAGGCAGTTTGAAGGCCCCGCCCAACCTAGCTAAGTCCCGCCTTTCTTGCCGCCTAGTTCCGCCCATGAACGATTAGCCAATCAGAGACCTCACCTCTTGAGGCTCCAAGCCCCGCCTGCCAAGGACTATTTTCCCAGGCCCCGCCCTTCCAAGTGCCAAGCCCCGCCCACGGGCCGCCCTCGGGCTGCCCTCGCTCCTCAGGTCCCGCCTCCCGGCGGCCCCGCCCCGGCCCCGCCCAGACCTGGGGCAGGGCGATGCTGAGCTGTCGCTGCAGCGAGTCCTTCTCGTGGCCGAGCTCGCGCAGCCGCAGCTGCGCCGTGGCCAGGCCGTCCTGCGCCTCGCGCAGCGTCTCCAGCAGGCGCTCCCGCTCCGTGAGCATCGTGACCATGAGGCGCTCCAGCTCGCCGCCCGCCTCGTCCGGGCCCAGCGCCGAGCCCCGCCGGCCATCCTCGCTGATGGTGGGCATCACCTCGCACATCATGGCGGCGGTGCTGGCCTGCGGAGGCAGAGAACGGAGGCACGGACATTAGGTTGCCACACGGGGGAAACTGAGGTGCGGTGTTAACTGAGGTGCGGCGGTGCAGACAGGAGAAACTGAGGCTTTGAGGCTCCAATCACAACACAGGGAAACTGAGGCACCCCCCATAGGGTGGCTCTACCAGGAAATCTGAGATGTAAGCTACCTGGGAAAACTGAGGTTCATCCATTATAATCATAAAGCAAGGTACACAGAAATACATTGCTTCCAGGAAAACAGCCTGGGCTACCTGGGTAAGAGCATTTGGAGAGGGCTGGGAAGGTGGCTCAGTGGTAGAGTGCTCGCCTTGCATGCGTGAGGCCCTGGGTTCGATTCCTCAGCACCACATAAGCAGAAAAAGCCAGAAGTGGGTGTTGTGGCTCAACTGGTAGAGTGCTAGCCTTGAGCTGAAGAGCTGAGGGACAGTGCCCAGGCCCAGAATTCAGGCCCCACGACCAACCAAAAAAAAAAAAAGAGCATTTGGAGAAACCGAGGTCTGACGCCACAGACAACAAACCCAGGCCTGGCCACATCATGGAACGGAACCCTGGGTGTTGGGGGATGGGGGAGAGGAGCAGTTCCCAAGTCACTCATTGTGACTTCTTTAAGAGGTCCTCAGCCCAATTGCACGTGTAGGAAAACTGAGGCCCAGACAGAAAGTCTTCCATTGCAGAATTAGGTCAGTAGAACGTGTTTGTCTGTGTCATGTCTCTAAGACAGGCCTCACCTACTATTCCGCTCAACTACTGTTTCTCAATTTCCCAGATACAGGACCCACACACATACACACAACTCCAGAAGCACTTTAAAGACCCACACTTCACTTGAAAAGCCTCAAAATTAAAAGCAAGACAGAAACCCAGCTGTGCTAGTCATCAGCTTGTTCACAAGTTCACTGTCCAAAATCTGCTTCAGGTTCCCAAAAGCTAGGCCCCTCAGTTGCCACCACCTCTAGACTTAAAAGTCTCAGCCTTCAGCTCCTCCCTCCCAATCCTAGAGTCAGAGCCAGCACACAGTCCTTATCTCCCAGTAGTTTTTAGCCTTCTCCCAAGAACCCCCAACTTCCAGCCTTGAAAGCCCCCCACCCGAATGCACAGCCCTGTATCAAGGATCCAGGGAGTTCTGGGAACACCCCCTACAACATCATTCTTCCCTCTCCCCCCCCTCCTCCCCCCCCTCCTCCCCCCCTTCCTCCAAACTCCAGCCCTGGAAGAGCACCAAGGGTGTGGGAGGTGAGGGGCGGGGCCTCTAGGGAGGCGGAACTTGATCCCCGATGCCAGGGGCGGGGCCAACATTAAGTGAGGCTCCGGAGCCACTCCCTCTTCATTTCAGGTCTGACAGGTCCAGCTGGCCCAGTCGAAAGCAGGAGGGACTTTCACTGTGTTCCTTCCTTTCCTTCCTCCCCAGACAGGCAGCGGTATAACCGGTTCTAAGAGTGAATAATTCCCAGCCCTGCCTAATATTCATACTGTACCCAAAGCCTGGGACGCCTGTGGAGAGAGGATTGAGAGGCTCTGGGACCTGGGAGGGGAGGCGGCTGGTAGCCTGAACCCTTGGGTCTTTGAAGTGGTGCATCTGAGAATCTAGCGCCCTAAATCCCAGCTCTGAGACTAGATTCAGGAAAAGCATTTATTAGACAACAGGCTAGCCTTAAGCCGAAACCCAACGTATTTTCCAGCTGCAACCTGCTCAGAAGATAGGACACAGAAGGGGTTTTAGGGAGGCTGTTCTGGAACCTGAGATTCACTGAGGAGACAGAACACAGCATAGAAGGACAGAGGATCTAGAAAGCTCAGAGCCCAGCAAAACTACTCAGTTCAAAAAGGACATGTGCGTCCACAGGCCTGAGAGTAAGATCCACATGCTGGAGTAAGTAGAACTGAAGTTTGGAGCCCAAAAGAACCCAATAACTTAAAAGAGTTCCTGGAGCCCAATGCTGGTGGCTCACGCCTATAATCCTAGCAACTCAGGAGACTGAGATATGAGGATCGCGGTTTAAAGCCAGCCCAAGCAGCAAAGTCCGTGAGACTCCTCTCTCCAATAAGATCACCAGAAAACCAGAAGTGGCTCTGTTGCTCAAGTGGTAGAGTGGTAGCGTTGAGCTGAAGAGATCAGGAACAGCAACCCAGGCCCAGAGTTCAAGCCCCACAACCGAAAAAAATAGAGTTCCTGGGTTACCTCAGAACCCTAAACATAGAAGGAAGTATAATGATGCATTTTTTGGGGGTCCAGTCGTGGGGCCACAGCGCCACTTCCGGCTTTTTTTTTTTTTCTGCTTACGTGGTGCTGAGGAATCGAACCCAGGGCCTTATGCATGCAAGGCACGCGCTCTACCACTGAGCCAACTTCCCAGCCTTAATGATGCATTCTTAGGAACATACCAAATAATAATGAGCTTAATCAAGGGTTACAAGCTACAACCCAGAACTGAGTCTAGCAGAAATGAAGGTATTAATACAGGGGTATTCTACCAGGGATCACAGTCTTATTCTAATCATGTGTCTAAATGATACTAGAATTGGAAGATAAAAGGTATGCTCTTGAACTCAGAACATGCCTCAGGGCTGAAGAAAAACAAAGACAGATAATTTGTCTGGAACTTGGAAACATCTGGAGGAAAATGCAGAAGATGCATGCTGAGAATTACGAATTAACTGAGATTAAAGATTGAACTAAACTGGCAAGGAAAGGGGGATGTTCTGGAAATAAGAACATCTTGAGACTGAGACTCTAGAAGAGGAGAAAGCCTAGAACACGCTTAGAATGCCAAAGTAGCAGATGGAGGAGAAAGCCCACAATCCTCCAGGCAATGAGTCCTACACTAAGGCCACACAGAGAAAACAGAAAAGATGGAAATGGATGGGCCTAAAACCTAGAACTTGAGGGAGGTAAATGTAATGTAGAACACTTATCATCAATCTTTCAGGCTTTAAGATCTTGAAATAAATTCCAGAGCTGATAGAATTTGAAGACAGCTAGAAGGCCTAGTTGGTACATAGAGAATCTGAAAGTTAGAAAGAATGTCCTTGGGAAGAGAAAGGAACCTAAAATAATGCTAAGGATATGGCCAGAACCTAGAACTGTGAAAATTCATCTGAGAGCAAGTAAAGACTGGCTGCTAGAACTCTGTAACATGTCTGAAGAGAGGGCAAGATCAAAGCATGGTTTCTAAGACATTATTATTTAGCTATGTGAAAAAACAAATGGAGGCCTACATAATGAGTTCCAGGCCAACCTGAGCTACACAGCAAGACCCTGTCTCTAAATCAAAGCAAAAAACTAGTGGGGTTCAAGATATAGCTCAATGACTGGGCACCAGTGGCTCACGCCTGTAATCCTAGCTACTCAGGAAGCTGAGATCTGAGGATCAAGGTTCAAAGCCAGCCTGGGCAAAAGTCTGTGAAACTCTGATCTCCAATGAACCACCAGAAAACCGAAAGTGGCGCTGTGGCTCAAGTGGTAGAGCACTGGCCTTGAGCTGAAGAGCTGAGGGACAGTGCCCAACCCCAGAGTTCAAGGCCCACAACCAACAAAAAACAACAAAAACCAAAAAAAAAAAAAAGATTAATGGAAAGAAGACATGCCTAGAATTTCCAGAGTGTAGCATCTTGCTTAGAACTTAGATCACATCTTGGTTGAAGATAGAACAGAGATATCAACTGAACATGTTCTAATACTGCTTGGTAGCAGTAAAAAAAAAAAAAAGGCACCTTACAACTAGAAATATACAAGGAAGGCTCTAGAGCATATAATTCATCTAAACTGCAGGCACACCTGGAGGAAAGAATTCATGTTTGGATCACTGGCCTGAGTGTACCTGAAGTGTGGGACAGTATGATACAGGACTTGGGAGGCAATGAGGGGCTTGGAACCCCTCAAGTCTTAGGGGAGTCTCTAGGCCTTAGGGGAGACAGAAGATTGGGGAAGCTTAAGCACCTGAGATGACATGGGGCTAAGGCAAGGGTTTGTCAAGGCCATGTGATCTGTGAGGTTTAATGGGAGTCAGGAGCCATGGGAAGCTGAGGAGGTAAATACAGGTCAGGATGGGTAGACAGATGCAGAGCCTGGGTCTTTGTAAAGGTTAAAGGGCAAGGGGTTAGGAGCTTGGGAGCCAGAATCCTTTTTAAGATCTGGGGCAGAGGGTCCAGGTAAAGGCAAATGGACAGACAGTGCAGAACCTGAGGTCTGAGCTCCTGGGTTTCTGAAAGGATGCAGGTCTGGGAACAGACACCTAGGTCTCCAAAAGGGATAGGAGCTAAGGAATTGTTTTTAAAAAATGCTGAAAAGAAGGGTTATGGCGCCTGAGTCCCTAAGAGAACAGATGCTGAGGTGCCAGGAGGCTGAGTCTATTTGTCTGAGGGACACAAGGGTTTGTTAAACTGGGTGCTATACAGGAAGCAAAGGCTGGAAAACTGGATTCCTGTGTCCTGACCCGAGTGAGGGCTGTGTCCACAGACAGATGAACAGAACCAGTGGAAGCTGGAGGTTGGGGTGCCTGCCTGAGTCCCTACAATGCACGAAGCAGGAACATTCAGAAATCCTGGCTCCTCAGGGAACACCTGGAGTCATAAAAAGCCAGGGTGCTAAGAATGCGTCCCCCCCCCGCCCCCGGCACCCTGCCAGCCAGGCCATCCGAACCCTGTGGCCCGGGTATCCCCGGGTCAAAGAAGCGGCGGCAGCCGAGGGAGGGGGAGATCCCCAGCGCCGCCGGCGCCCCCTCCCTGGCGGCGGCTGCACCAGGTGCCCTGCAGACCATGGACAGCTCCAGAGCGGGCCTGTGTCCAGCACGGTCGACGAACCGGCCTGGACCGAGACACCATCGCCTGTTCCAACCAGAGGCTGGAGCTGGCCACACGGGTGTGCGGACCGGGGGGGGGGGGCGATGGGGGCCGGCTGGTGGCTGGGGGAACCTCACAGAGCTCTGGCCGGTGACTGGAGCTCCCGGCACTGGGCCCAGGAAGAGGGATCTAGGTTTCCCCGGGGGTCCCCAGGGTCTGAATGGAGGTGTGTGTGTGGGAGACCCAGGCTCCTGGGGCCTGGAGGAGGCGCAAGGAGACAGTGCGCCTGGGATTCGGGGGTTCGGCGGGGGACTCCACTCGGGCCAGGGGCACGCCTGAGCCTCCTGGGCTGGGTTGTGGAATCTGGACCCCAGGGTCCCCGGGAGGACGAGGAAGGGAATTCAGGATCTCCGGGAGGCGGGGGAGGCTGGCGCAGGGGTCCCCGGGGTGGGCGCTGCCAGGCGGGCTGGGCCGGGCTCTTACCTACCTGGTCCGCGGCGGCTGCGGGCGGAGCTGGGCTGCTGGAGGGACGTGGGGTGGGGTGGGGGGGACCGGGCGGGGCCCCTGGCGGCGGCCGGGGCCCGGATCTGTGGCTCTGGAGCCCTGTCTCCGCCGCTCGCGCGGGCTCAGCGTCTCTTGCTCCGGCTTGGGCGCTGGGGACCCCCTCCCCCTCACAGTCTTACAGCTTTCTAGCCCCTAAAATAGACCCCTGGCACTGACACCGTCCAGCCTCCCCCCACGAGGCCGCAGCCACCAGATCCAGGGGTGCCCACCAGCGCCCCCCAAATCCCACCTTCCCCCCAAAAAATTTCCTCCTCCCTCCCCTCCCCCAGCAGCTCCCAGGCGGTCCTGGCCCCTTTAACAGGAGACTGACAGACGGCACTGGGTGGCCAATGGGAGACGGCCTCGGCGCCGGCCGGCGACTAGACCCCGCCTCCGCACGGGCAGGGAGGGGTCGCGCGGGCGGAGAGCTGGGGGCGGGGCCCTGGTGGCGTCGGCCAATAGGCGCGCGGCGTGCGGCGGCTGGGGCGGGAGGCGGAGCCCGGCAGGGGGATGATGTCACCTGGAGCGAGTGGCGCGCGGAGTGGAACGCGAGTCCGCGACCCCGGATCCCGGCGGTGGGGCGCGACGGCGGCCCTCACGCCGCACGGGGTGCGCGGGCAGGGCAAGCGAAGGGATGGGGAGAAAGGTTGGATTCTAAGGCCAGGGCGGCTCCCGGAAAAGACGTGCTTTAGTTGGAAGGTGGGGTGAGTGCCTGATGGGTGAGTGCACCTCCTCCTGCACCCCTGCGCCCGCCCGGGGAACTGCACGCGGCTCCCCCCGCCCCGACTCCCACGCAGACGGTAGTGCGGCCTACGGGGCTCCCCTCCACCCCCACCCCGTCGGACCAAGCTGATGGTTCGCTCCACCCCGCCCACTGGCCCCAGCCGCGACGACTGGGGACTCCTTGGTCAGATCGGCCTCAGAGGAGGAAGGGGGCAAGGGGCGTCGTCCTGGGTTCCACCCCCGCAGCCGGGGGTCCCAGCCTCCGCCCTCGGACTGGTCCAGAGGAGGGCAGCTTGCCTCTGCCTCCGCCTACTCCACCTCCGCCCCTCGCTCTCCCCCCCCCCCACGCGTTAAGACTCTTGTAACCCCCAGATGCTGGACAGATACACAGACACTCGGAGGAGGGTCAAAGATCTTTAAATAGAGAGCCAATGACAATAAACACTACTGGGGAGAGGAAGAGAAAGAGGGGGGAGGGGTCCGGATCTGGGGTTTCATCCTCGAGACTCCAAGGACCTGCAAGGGGAGGGGGGAAGATTGGGGAACCAGGCTCAGGGTAGGGGGCTGGGGGCTTGACAGCAGGATTGGGGTTTGGCTGGCCCGAGACTAGGAAGGTGAGTGCAAGGGCTCCAGAGGGAGCAGGTGTCAGATGCGAGGGGCAAGAGGGAACCTAGAGGGTCCCCAGGGATTCTGGGAGAACGCATGGGCCAGGGAGGGGTGGCAGAGTCAGAATGGCCAATAAACGCAGGTGAGGGCTGGAATCCAGGTCCCAAGAGCCGCTGGCCAGATTGAGGGGCTGGGGCGGGGGGGGGGGTCGGTGGAGACCCCAGGGGTGCGATGGCCATGGGCTCACGAGTAGCTCTGGTGCTGTTGGCGCCGGCGGGCGGAGCGCATCTTCTCGAAGCGGGCCTCCATCTCCTCCAGCACTCGTGGGGTATAGCGCACGACCAGTTTCACTGAGCCCTGGGCGGCCTTCAGCAGCTCCACGGCCTTCTCGTGCTGCTCACCCTCCACGCTCTGCAGGGCAGGGTAGGGCCACGCACACGCACACACACACCTGGGCCTGCTGCCCCCCATGCTCCACCCGGGACTCAGAGCTACTGGGGAGGTTGAAGAGCACAGCTAGAGAGCCCAAGGCCTCATGGGAGAATCATTGACTTCTGACTCCTAGTAGCCCCCAAAACCTCTAGCTGTCATGTCAGAGCAGTCCCAAACCCCAGTGAGAGCATAGCCATGACCACCAGGCCCATTCCAGACCTCTCCTTCCCATAAGTCCACTGACTTCCTGTTCTAACTTCTTCCTGGTCCCCACAGAACTGACTCCAAGCTCAGGCCTAGTCCTCTCATCCCTGAGCTCAAAGCCTCTCCCATTTATCCATCTCCCACAGTCACAGAAAGATGTTTCTGCACCCCCAAGCTAAGCCTATTCCTTGGCTTAGCCCCCCTGGGGACAAAAATCCCAGCTGAGAAAAACATCTCACCAGCTTCCCAATAACCTGTCCAGTGTGCTTCCTTCAACTCTCTAACCACAGTGATTTTAATTAGCCACATACCCCAGACCTCCATTAGAGCCAAATCCTTTCTCTTCCTCTCGGAGGAGTGGAGAATCACAGCCCTTACCTACAATATCCTCAGCCAGGATCACATTCTACCTTGTTTTCCTGAAGAACTCCTATTCACCCTTCAACACCCAACCCAATGGTTTTTCTTCTGCAAAAAAGTCCCTAGTCCTAATCCAGTTTGGGCTCCTTGAACAGCTACTTTTAGAGTCTTCCCGATTGTACAGCAGAACTGGCCACAGAGAGAGTGCTGAGTGTCAGATAAACAGGACAAGCAGGGATGAGGCTACAGCCCTGCCCCAGCCCCCACTCACCACACCATTCACAGACAGCAGCTGGTCCCCTCGCTTGAGGCCACCATGGCGATCAGCCACGCCTCCAGGAATGACCCGGGAGATGTAGATGGGTGAGTTCTGTTCTTTGCCACCCATGATGTTGAAGCCCAGCCCCTCGTCAGTTTTGGGCAGCTCCACTACCCGAGGATGTGCATGGCCCTCACTGGCTGTGAAGGCAGCCACCGTGGCCTGGGAGGGAGAAAGGACCTGGATGTGAGGGGCAGTTTGTGGTGCACATGAGAGCAATTTAGATTGAGGTCAACAGACCCCTTCCAGCCTCAACCAGGATCCCTGTGTGGTGGTTGCGTCCCTGTCCTCCATGTACCTGCTTTAGAAATGTCATGTGAGAAAGAAGTCTCTGTGTGGTGTGTGTGTGTGTGAGTGTGTGTGAGTGTGATTGAACTCGGGGCCCGAGTGCTGGTATTTCAAGGCTGGCACTCTACCACTTGAGCCACAGCACCATTTCTGGCTTTTGGTGGTTAATTGGAGATGAGTATCACAGACTTTCCTGCCCTGACTGGCTTTGAATCCTGATCCTCAGGATTCAGGATTAAGGGCTTGAAGTGTCATCTAGCTCCATTTGTATCTTGAACACTCAGTACCTGCCACTCTGGCTTTCTTATAGGCCTGGAAAGAACTGAGCCTCCAGGCAGCAGGGGTGGCCCAGAGAACTCTCCCAAGCTTTCTACTTAGTGACTCCCACCAGGGTGGCCTTCTAGGTAACATGCTGTTCTGGCTTCCGTGGGTTGCCTAAAGATGCCTTTGTATGACATTGAAATTAAAAACGCACAGTATTAAACATGATGACATATATGGGGTTATGCACATGTACACACAAATTGAAGAAAGGACAGCAGACTTAGAGGAGGAATCCAGTGCTGTAACTTCTTTGAACAACTAACCAAACCATTTAATGAAATGAATACCAGAAAGCTGAAACACATTGGGGGTAGGATGAGCAAACAAGGCGGGCACATGCATGGAGGAGGGGAAGCACATACAGTCATTATACTCAAAATTATGGACACTATTTAAAGGAAATTATAAATAAATGATCATAAGGCTGGCACAAAGATGTGGCAAATATCATAGAGGAGAAAACTGGGGGGGGGGGGGCTGGCTTCTGCAGGTACTGAGTTAGCCAGGGCGGTTCCGGGGCTGCCCTGAGCCAGGGGGTGGGGTGCTTACCTTGGCCGTGGCGTGAGCTCGGATCTCGGCACTGCCGGTGATGTCCAGCGTGTCGTAGAGCTGCTCGTACACCTGCGGGAAGACGCGGCCCGTCAGGGGTCCGCATGCCCCTTCCTCCCGGGATACAGTCGTCCCGGACTCTGGCCCCCGCCCCACCCCAGGGTCCCCCTCGCCCCCGCTGGGAGCCAGAGGAGACTGCAGCTCCCTACAAGGCCGAGCTCCCCGAGGCGCGGGCCGGGCCGGGGCCCCGGGCTCACCTCGCGGATGGCGGAGCAGAAGCGGCTCTGCAGGACTCGCTGGAGCGCCTGCAGCTTCTGCGGGGGCAGCTCCCCGCTGCGCTGCAGCCGCTCGAGCAGCTCCACGGCCCGGGACACGTCTGCGGGCCGGGGCGGGGCGGGGCGGCCCGGTCAGAGACGCACGGACGCGGAGACCCCGCTGGGGAAGCGAGGTGACCCGGAGGAAGGGCGAGGGCAGCGGCCCGGGA